ATGAACTGGTTTTGCCGAGGGTTTTGCAGAGAATTTATGTCATATTCCTTCCACTGTTCTACGATTTTACACGTACTATTCAAATATTTTGAACAAATAATTTCTTATTTTCAAAATATCTAAGCATATACATTTCACAGAAAGAAAACACTTCAGGTTCAAAACTTAAAAAATTGGAGTGTTCATTTGTACTTGCTCTACCTGCTCAAAGAATCAGGAAGATCTGCTAGGAACTGCTATTTATGAGCTTATTATATGGGACAAGTTAACGCCGATTTCCTGCTGAGATCTGCTTGAAGCAAGAAATGCAGTACAAATGGACACCCCAAAACAAATACAAAAATTCAAGATTTTCAGGTTAGAAATGAGGCATCAGCTCCCAGTCATTTCTGGAAATTTGCAATATCTAAACTTATCATTCGAAGTAAGGAAATAACCTATCGCGTCTAAATAAGATTATAGCCTTATTAGGGCTGATTTGCGATATCTCTCTAATAAAGAGATAAATATTTAATAAGAATTTATTAACATTGTTATTAAAATATCTTACATCATTCAATAAGGATCCGAATTTTCTTCACTATCTGTGAAGTGTTTTTGACCTAATAAAGTGTCGTTGCCTTGACTAATGTTCATACGGACCTTCGTACATCCAATGAATTTCTGTCGGGATTTTTGATGAGATTCAAACAAGTTTTTTTGACAAAAAAACGCACAGCTGATATTTGATATTTTCAGCTGTATAATAAAAATACCTACTTACAAAATATAGTATGTAAGTATACCTTCTTACAAAAAAGAGACAATATAAGGTACCCCGAATTAATTCAGCACTATTACAAAAGTTATTAATTACTAACTCCGTTAATATTGGAGCTACGAATTAGGTTAAATACAAGTTGTATGCAAATTTAAATCCAGTGAATAGTTTACACCAAAAAGTCATAAACGGTAGATATCTAATACGGACCGTGCACCACATAGAATCAATCGCATGCCAAGGGAATTTCAACCATCCTCGCATCTCCGCGTCCGAGCGCGGCCGCCACGACATGCTTTCACATTTTACAGGTTTTTGACAAAACGACTTATCGGATTTTTGATTATAAAAAAACATTTGAATCCCTGATCTTTGATCTACAGCGTTTATAGAAAGTATTTTTTTGATTAGAATAAGCATTTTTGAGTTATCTATGTGTGAATGATGTTGCAATTTTGATGTTTCAGTGCGAGCTGTTTTATATTAAGGTACTCCATATAAATGCGTGTTGTACAAACATTTCAAAATTCGAAATAAAATACTTCTACTTGGAATTTTGAAATAAAACTTTTGCAGATCATTGAGCACGTAGTGTAGATTCGAAAAATGAAAAAAAAATTTGCAATTTTTTGGAAAACTACCCCAAACTACCCCCCTGCACCCCACGATTTTTTGACGACCAATCGATTTTGCTTTCTTAAGGCGTAAGGAACGATAAAGGATAGGTTCTACATTTTAGCAATAGAGTTCCGACGGAATGACACGATAAAATCATTTTTAAACTCCACTATCACCAGTTATCAAATTTCCAAGAACTTTTTTGAATTTGAACTGGAATATAAAATCATTATTTTCCGTATTCCAGTATAAACCTAATATTTTGTCATATTTCTTTTCTGGGAAACTAATATCGAAATTTTTTTCTGAGGACATATGACTTTTTGTAATAGAACTTAATATTTCTCTTGAATTGCTTAGCCAATTGACCATACTGAATCCTCCGCGTTCATGAACTTCAATTACAGATTGAATAGTAGTTTATAACTTCTTTTGAACTTGATTTTGAATCTAAGTAATCATCAACATAATGTATCCCTAATAGTATATTCATAATATCAGGATATTCTTCCTTTGCATTATTAGCATTAAAATTGTTAACAAATTGAGCCATGAATGGTGAACAAATAACGCCAAAAATAATAACTTTCATCTCATAAACATCAGAATCTCGATCTCTATTAATTTTTCTAAACAAAAACGTTTGGCAGCACCTGTCCTGCTCTCTTATTTCAACCTGATGAAACATTTCACGTATATCGCCACAAAATGCATATTTTAGTTCTCTAAACCTCCACAAAATGCCAACCAATAAAGGGTAAAAATCCAGACCTTTTAGTAAAAAAGTCATTTAGACTGACCCATTTATTTTTGCCGCATCATCAAAGACAAAGCGGATCTTTCCTGGTTTGTTCGAATTTTTAACAGCAAAGTGTGGAAGGTACCAGGTTTTTCCATTTTCTATTGCATCTCCAATTTTTTCAACATAGCATTTTCGTTCATATTCTTTAACTTTTTCGCAATATTAAATGGCAAACTCTAAATGTATCTCCGTTATCTATCTTCTTTATTGTATTATTAAATATTTCCAAAGCTCGTTGGTCTTCTTTAGAAAACTCCGTTTTTTCAGTTCCATTACTATAACATAACCTTTAAGTCTAAAATTTTCTTCTATCATATCTTTTAAGTATTCTTCATCATGTTTACATAAATTTACATTGAATTGACTAGTCAGTCGCTCGCTTCTTGTACGGACCATGCACCACCCATCCTAACCTTGTTTTACTTAGTACTGGTTGGTCGAATTTTGGATGTATAATTTCTCAAGCAGAAAGAAGAAAGGCATTATCTTGACCAATTAGAATCTTAGGGGAATCATTAGCAATATTTATCAATTTTTCTTCAAAGTTTCTTCGCCCAGATAATCATATTTTCTGTTCATAGCTTCAAAATCAATTTCTTGGCTTGCAAGGGTTAAATTTTTTACTTTTGATTTCAAATTTTTTAGATTCATTGACTTTCAAGGGATACTAATATTAGAGCATCACAACAAGAATTATTCCCTGTTTTTGATACCTAATTTGCCTATTGCAAACAAATTGGCGAAGTAGGCCCATTTAGATTTAATTTTTCACCAATTTGAGAATCTACAAGCATGATAGTTGAACCTTCATCCAACAAGGCAAAAGTTCCGGAGCTTTTTGAACCATCATGCAACCTAATTTTTGCAATCTTCAGTAATGCACGGCTTTCATTTCTTATAAAGCAAGCGATTTGATTTTCTGCCTCTTTCAGATTTTCTTCATTCTTCACGGTTTTCTGGTCAACTAAAATATTGTGTCTTCCATAGCAACCTTCAATTTTGCAAACGGTTTTTGATTCTTCTCTAGGACTAGGGCATTTTTTGACTTTCTCCATCTGATTGATGATGATCCAGTCTTTCTTCCAAAATTCATTTTTACCGTTTTAATTATGGCTGTTACATTACTTGGACTGCAAAATAAGTCTCTCCCTACCTCTCTTGCTTTACCTTTGAGACATTTCTGCAACCTATTTAAATTATCATTCTCAGAATGATGCCTATCTTTAGTGGAGCGATTGAATTCAGGAAATTTAATAATATTGCCATAAAAATCAGGTAAATCTAATGGTTGGTGTTTCAAAGCCAACCCTGTCAAATTTTTATTCAAATCTTGCATGCATCGAATGATAGATTCAGCAAATAATGTACTTTGATTCCCAGGATCTTCACTTCTAATCATATTTTTTTGACGTTCTTCTATGTTATACTTTCCATAAATATTTTTTTGCGTTATGTTCTGTGGCATTTTCTATAAGTAAATTTTCTGACTTTTTAAACCCGTCAGCTTCTTTCGGATTTCTCACAAATAATATACTTTTGTTCTTAGGTTCGGTTCATCACCCCCTTTGGATTTTTCTACCCATTCGTTTATTCTTACATACTCATAATCTTCATCGTATTTATTTGTTGAACATATTTCCGAAACGCTGCCGGAAATTTTGCTATTTGCTTCAGTTAAGGCATTTTCTTCTTCATCAAGCAACTCCATTTAAAGTTTAAACATTCTCAATTCAATTTCTCGTTTTTTATTTCGTATTTCGTCAGTTTTAGAAGTTCCTACTAGCACTTGTACTAAAAATGGCAGATTTTGAAATTTTTGTCTTTTTTGCAAATCATCTCCATTTGGATAGTACCTTCTTATTCAAATTAACATCGTCGAGATCAACGCCAAATCTCTTTGGAGTAACACCTTGATTCAACTTTTTCTTGAACTGCGAAATTCACTCATTTATCTTCAAATATAGGCGCCAAAGGACAATTTCAAAACTCGCAGGACCAATTTTGTTACAGCTTCAATTTATAAGAGCTTTAGCTGCTAACATATAAAAATTACACTTTTTAAAAATTAATATTCGTGACAACTTTTTCTGAAACATCTATCTATTCTGACTGATTCTGACTGACTATCAAAACTATTATTGTGACCAGTCTTGTCAGGTTTTACAAAACAATTAAAGGTAAAATACAGGAAATTCTTTTATCTGCTACACAGAGAACTGTAGGGGCAGTATTTAGGACACCGAAATTCACCCATCTTATTGGCTATGTTTGTCCTATGAATTATGTTCTCATATCTCACGCTTAGGAACAAAACATCAACAAATATATATATTGCATTTTGCAAGGTTCGTTATGCTACAACGGAAGTATTTTTATGTACCTATAAAATTTGCCATACAGACCTTGATATTGGCTACTAACATTGCTTTTCACAGTTAAATTATGGTTAATTAACGCTTAGATGAACTTTTAAACATGGTAAACAATAAGTCGTTTACCATATGCAATTATCATTATTGAAAATTTGACGCATGTAGGTAAACACGTTGTATAATGAAACATGTAAAATAAATGATTTGATTTGATTTGAAAAATAGAAACATGAGACAAAATGTAAAATAAAAGTATATTACTCTAAAACAGTCTCCAGGACAGAGAACTACAGCAATCCCTACTAAAAATGAGGAATATACAAGAATTTGCTCCAAGTCAGACCATGTAATATCATTTTCATTGGGTACATTTATTATTATTTTGTTTGGTAGCATAATATACCATCTAGTTTTATAATATTTGTATGATGATGATCCAACTTTTTAGGTCAAAACGAAACAAGACTAATAGAACGAGACATCAATCTCGAAGTGAAAGCCCTAATAAATGAATTAAGAATAAAATCGTTAAGTGTTCCTGAACAATTTTCCGAGAAGGAGTGGATAGGTGAGGCTGCCAGGAGGCTAGAGAGGTTCGAATCAAAATTGACTGCAGCTTTTAAACAACATCCTTTAGTGGTATCTCACATAAATGGGAGAGTTTGGACTATTTGGAATGCTGTTGTCTATTGTTCCACGCTTTATACAACCATAGGTGTGAATAGAATAATTTCAAAACTTTATTTACATGGATTTAAAATGTAATTCGTAGGTTATGGGCATTTATACCCCACCACGTTCACAGGCAGGGTCCTGACGATGGTCTATTCCACAATAGGCATTCCATTATTCCTGATAGCTCTTACTGACTTCGGTAAGCTTTTTACCAAAGGTATCAAATTCGTCTGGTCTCACATTAGACGATTCTATTACACAAGAAGTTGCAGAAGAGTTAGAAGAAAAAGTCATGTAAAGGTTATACAATTTAAGTCTGTTAAAAATATTAGTTACTTAAGACTTTATCATTTTAGGAAATCATCAAAGGAGCTCAAGTAATGTTCGAATATGCGACCTTCCGAAGAATGTCAGTATGGGGAGACCCAATCCAAACAAATCAAACCTTAGAAACCCCCATGTCTCATTCAGCTGTGATTTCAGAGCCTCAAACCCCCGCTTTATCATCATTCGAAGTAGACGATGAATTCAACTTACCAATTTCTTTAGCCCTTACAATGCTGGTAGCTTACATGCTTATTGGTGCCGCAGTGTTCATGGTGTGGGAAAGTTGGGATTTTTTCCTGGCTTTTTATTTTGTTTTTATGTCATTGTCCACTATTGGTTTTGGCGATATTGTTCCAGAAAAGCCAATTTATATGATCTTGTCTATAGTATACCAGTGTTTTGGTTTGGCTTTGATGTCTATGTGTATCAACGTTGTGCAAGATAAACTTAGCGACACATTTAATAATGCTTCTGCAATGATAGGTGAAACCATAGGAATTGATGTCGAAAATGGCGCTGAAAATGAAGATGACGAAAACGAAGAAACTAATAAAGATGATGATAAGAAAAATGAAAATATTGGACATGAAGAAAATGTTTCTGAAATACCTACAATACAAGTAGAAGAATCACCATTTATATGGTCAACTGCTCGTGTTGCCAAATAGAATTGTTCTGAAATGTTTAAACTGTCAGACATTTTCGTTTTGAGAGGTAGTGTATCCCTATTTTTTCTAAGAAATATCAATTTTCACAATAAAAACTACTGAGATAAATTTTGGACGAATGTGGCGGTTTTTGTTTTGAAAATACAGCTGTAACAAATTAAAAAATCAAAAAGAAAATCGCGCATCAAATAAATATTAAGAAGGGCGACCTCATCAAAAAATGGGTCACACTGTATCAGCGTGGGCAAAAAGAATGGAACACAACATGGGTTTGAAAACTATCTTTTTTTTTGAAAAATCGCTCGGACCCGTCAATTCTATTTTTAAGCTGCGCATTTTTTGGTGAAAAAAAAAATTAAACAGGATGTCCCAAAAATGGTGTTACTTGCATCAACTTTGTTATTTTGAATGGCAACCCTGTATATTATTGATTTTTCTATTCTACGAAAAATTATGGGAATATTTAATGTATAATGTTCTATACCCAAACTATTATGGAAATATTGACAGTAGAAAATTAACTTTTTTGCAACTTTGACAGGCTGTAAAACCCAAACGGATAATTTTAGAGCAAAACCGATCATTTTGAAAAGGGAGCCTTTACAGGCAGCACGTATCTGCTTATGTGGTCCATTGTGCTAAAAAAAAACCGATCATACATTCTTGTCTCAGTTTTCCATAAACTTTTGACACCAACTTTGAAATTAATCGGAGATTAAGTTTAACTGGAATTTTTAATCATGGATTAAATTCAAAGTTGATATCAAATTATGAGTTTATGGGAAACTAAGATAAGAAGAAGGTTTTTCTCTAAAATTAACCGTTTGGGTTTTACAGCCTGTCAAAATTGCAAAAAAGGCAATTTTCAACTGTCAATATTTCCGAAATAGTTGAAGATAGGTATAGGACATTATATTACATAAAATATTTCCATAATTTTTTGAAGAATCCAAAAATGCAATACAGGGTTGCCATTTAAAATAACAAAGCTGAAACCATTTTTGGGACACCCTGTATATTTTTTTCCCAAAAAATGCGCAGCTTAAAAATAAAATTGACGGGTCCGAGCGATTTTTCAAAAAAAATATATAGTTTTCAAACCCCTGTAGGTGTTACATTCTTTTTGCCCACGCTATATAAGTAGTTACGAAATGTTTTTTTTTATATTGTTTAAATACTCTGTGTTATTATTGTTATTTGTTAGCATTTTTGGTAATATATTTTATGAACAAATTCGTAAATTTCCTTAATGCTGATGCATACATCACTGATTGAGATAAATTCCTTTTGGTACAGGTCTGGCAAGTCAGCATCTCACGGGTAATTCTAATGCAATAGAATGAAATGTCTAGAAAAGTCTAAGGTTAAATAGAGAACGAAAATGAATAGACCATTCCAGGGTGACGTCATAACCGATCGGCCATTTTAACTGAGGGGCAGTCACAAGGCAAACATAACCTGATTTAGTGTTATTTTAATGCAAACCGAGAATTTTTCAACTATTATTTTGTGAAGATGCCTTCGTTTTGTAACGTTGTTGGGTGTTCCAATACAGCTGCAAGGGATAAAGTGAGGTTTTTTAGGATCCCAGCAGCATTTAAACATCGAGATCGCCTAAACGAGTTATCAAAAAACACGACAAAGAATGTGGTTAGATGCCTCAAAAGGGGAGATTTGACTGAAACGTTGTTGAAAAATGCTCAAATTTGTTCAAAACATTTTGTTAATGGTAAGTATTATGACTGTCTTGTTGTTAAAATACAAAACCACGTCATCTAGGTATATCAAAATTTTTTTTTATGTTTATACAAGTAGGTAAGTTTTAATACCTTTTAGGTAGTCCAGCAGAACTTGAGGATACAAAAAATCCGGATTGGGTCCCCAGAACTAATTTAGGAGATACTACGATAAAAGCCCAGAATGAACAAGCCAGTAAGCGACATGCCAGATCTGTGTAGCGATCAGAAGAAAAGTCAAAACGTTTGAGGAGCCATTTTACCACAAAAACAACTTAAAATTTATTGAACGAATCTGTCAAAGTCACCCTGACCTGGAATGGACAATTCCCCTATTCCAACTCCAGCATGGAGCGGTGGGAATGCTGGAGGTGGAACAGGGGACATCGTTTTCATTCTCATTTTAACCTTAGACTTTTTCTAAACATTTCATTTTATTGCATCAAAATTAGCCCGTAAGATGCTCACTTGCCAGACCGGCATATCAAAAATAGTATAAAGTGAAATTAGTGAAAATAAATTCTGAATATACAATTAATGTACAGGGTATGTTCCTAATAATTAGTGCGGCTTCTACAACCTAAACAAACAAAAATAGAAAAAAAGTTAAATACCGAAGTTGTAGGGTTTTATCTCTAATATCTTTCGCTTATGTCAAAATGGATAAATGACAGGTGCCAACTGTCATAATGACAAACAATTGCATTTTTTAAATAGAACACCCTGTATGTTTTTAGCTAGAATGATTTCTTTTTTTCTCCTGATTCCTAATATCGTAGGTATATATGATGATATTTGGTTCAGCTGTTTTTACGCTCAAGGCGCACTAATTATAAGGAACAAATTCGATAGAAAGTGTAATGTGATGATTTGTGATCTCTTGTTGTGATAGTATTTTAAAGTCAAAAGAGTGGGTAGAAACTAAAATAAAAAATTATTCAACTTTTGATTCGTAAAATTTGTTCAACGGTCCTACCTCAATTTTTATGCTGATTTCCACCAAATTATGTCAAGCTTTCGGTTGGGTTGATTTTGATTTTGGAAGTTGGGGTTTCACCACCCTTGGGGGTTCAACTATTAAATAATCATAACAAGAAAAGTGTTATTTCGTTGCCTATTAATGAGTAAAACATGTAAAAATATATGTATAGGTATCTAAGTTCGAAAAATCAGCTTCTGTAGATAGCGGTGTTAGAATGACCACAGTTATTTCACAAGGGAGAGGATTTTTTGGCGACATTCAACGTTAGAATGTTACAAATTTATTAGACTTCTTCTTTCCATTACGATTAGTCAAAATAGAGAGATATCGGTAACCCAAAAAGCGTCTTGCAGTATTAGCGCCTACGTTATTTTGACATTAAACCTATGCGCGATTTGATTTTTAACACTACGTACTGAAATAACGTTACCGCATAACGTAATTTACCCAGCATTTACGTAAAGCGTTATTTCGAATAACGCCTAAAAATTACTCGAATAGGCATGCGCAGATTTTTGACAACGGGCCAGCTGGTTGAATATTAGTATTAGAGATTATGTCATGTTTACCTATCAATCATCAATATTTATTTTTGTTGTGATTTTGTGAAAGTGATGTTTTTGGATGACTAAATATGAATATGACCCAAATTATTATTACTTTACCAGTAAAGAATTTATAAAGAGGCTTAGGTTTACAGCAGATGACGATCTAGCACTATTAACCCGTCATTACACGCGTCAAAAAACTTACGTTAGTACACGCGTTCGGTAAAATCGACCGACTGCCAAAAAGTTTATATGAATTATTAGCTTTTTTCGCGAACACGATCCCAAAGGTATCCTGAACGCTAACGCATGACCCACGCAGGTTTAGTAATCAATAGAGACATGAAACTTTCAAATATTACCTGCGTAAGACATGCCTTAGCGTTCAGGATACGTTTGGGATCGTTACCACGAAAAAAGTGTACAAGCACTATAATTCCTAGAATTCATAATCATTACACAGGGAATTATATTATGCAGTACAGTTACCGTATTATCGACAACCAAAAGTACTCTCAATATCAGAAAATGCCAATTTTGAACACAAATATTTTAGATACTCAGGTTCATGCGCCTGGTCAAAAGCACCGACTATGAAAACAACGAACTATACTTCAACCAAAAACCAAAATATTTTTGGGCTAATGGGTAGTGGAAAACCTGCATAAGGCATTCCTGGATGGACAAAACTGCCACCCTTGTACCAGTGGCGTAATTATTAATTTTATCAATGGTCGGTCTTTTTGACCGACACGCGTGTACCTACTCCCGGGTTAACAGAATTTGTTGGTTTGAACCCATTAGAAGAGGTAGAAAAATGAGAAGAAATCCACAAAAATATTTCTATAATAACAGGGAAAATGTTCTCCATTGGAACTTTGAAGGAACACTTCTTTCTTATCCTAGATATTTGGTTGAAGAAGGATAAAACCACTCAAATATTGTTGGTTTGAAAAAATTAATTTTAATAATAATTATTGTTTGTATACCTAATAAGGATTTTCAAACAAATTTATGTGCAGGTCTGGAGTAGAAGAAGTACATTCTGAGAGAGACCAAGTCTTACAAGAAGTAGGTATATAAGTGATATGTGTAACAACGCCAAAGTAAAGCCACTCAGGAAATTGAGCAAGGAAAAACAAATTGCTGAATTAGGTAAACAGTCAAGAGATGAGTATTCCAGAACTCTAAACGCAGAAAATATTGAAATGGAAAACTTGCCCCCAGCTCAAGCTCCATATTTTTCTCCAATAGCCTTAGACCATGATTATCGTAAGTATAAAAGTAAAACATAAAATAATTATTCCACTTCGTATTCTTGAGCAAATGTACTGACAAATCTAAACTGCTAGACAAGGAAATTTTTTCGCCTAACTTCAAGCTCAATATTTTTTGGATATTTTGGAACTAGACCAAATATCGACCTTCGGTTTTTACGGGTTGACAGATTGACTTTTTGTGGAAAAAATTGCGAAATGCAAACCAGAGGTTGATATTTTGGTTCCAAAAATATCGAGCTTGAAAGTTAGGCGAAATTTTTTTTTTGTTAGAAAGCAATTGTCCAGCAGTTTCTACCTATAAAATTTATTCAGTTTACAAAATAGAAGTTGAATGATCCGTGAAGTGAATATTTGAAATCTCATATAGGTAATGTGTTTTTTTTCAGAAGTTTGTTCAATAATCGACCTAACCGACGACGAAATTCAAATAGCAAATAATACTGAGAATAATAATGAGTATATATCCAATGTAACTGAAACTCTGCCGCCTTCCAAACCCACTATACTGGCTTTAGAAGCTGAGACTCCAAAAATCAACTCAGAAAAAAGTGCTTCAAGAAAAATTTTAGGTAGGTAGATAAAAGTAATACTTTTTTTTTCTAAAATATAATAGTAATAAAAATACCTTTTGAAGCCCCTAGAAAGAACAGAACTAATAGTAGTGCTACGTTAAGGAGAAATGCTTTAGAGTATTTGGATAATAAAGAATCAAGGGAGGAAATTTCAAAAACTAGGCAGTTAAATTTGAAGGAAAAAAATAATTAAATTATAGAAAACAAGGCTAGTCTTAGATGAACAACGGCACGAGATGGACTATATAGGAAGAAAAGAAAAATTGGAAATGGACAAAACTCGATTTACACAAGAAATGTTGGAAAGGAACCAAAAATCCAAAATAATTGAACAGCAACATCAACTTATTCGGTCACTGATGGAAAGATTGAAGAAGTATGAAGAAAAATAAAATAATTTTAATATTTTTTCCCATTTGTTTGATGTAATTATTTTTGTCTTATTTGTTTTTTCTTATATTTTGTTGAGTTACGATATAGGTGGGTATACCTATTATGATATTTTGTACTTCCTTGGTAAGGAGTAACATCTATGCCGCGTCGAAATAAAGATTAGATATTTTCCAAATTGTCTCGTTTTTCGAAGCTAGAATTTTTTCACACATATGGGGAGGCATTTTATTGAGTACAAAATTTCCGTTTCCAAATTCGCAAATGCTGTATAGTTTGAATTTGAAACAACCTGTACATACGTACATACATTTACTTACCTGACTGCAATTTAAAGTTCCTATCTAGAATTTGGTGGAGTTTAATTTTGGGTTATTAAATTTTTAAAAAAGTTCAAAATATAGGTTTTTAATTTCACAACCTAGTCAAATCCCTTGAGTAAAACATTCCAAATGGTATGTACTGCATAATAATTCATAATCAATTCAGAATTTTTTGAGGGTTACAGTCATTGGCGTAATTTATTGTCGTTCTAATCTTTCACACTCGTTATTGTAATCATGTCCATTGTAGATTGCATTTGGAGTTGTTACAGCTTCTTCCAGCCGCTGATATTGTTCTGTTCAGATGGTTTTGCCGAGTAAGTTTGAGGTCCAGGGTGACCCCTATATACTCAACTTCATCCGAGAAAGATAATTATTGAGTGTCGTTTAGAGTGGGGGCTGGCAGATCCAGCTTGCTTCTTTCTGTAAATGAAACCAAGGTTGTTTTGCTGGGATTTATGGAAATTCCTTCTTCCTCGCTCCAGTTTTTGATTAAATTCAAGGCACTTTACCTTCGGCCTGTTAATATGCTTTCATGCTTGCCTCTGATTATTACCGACAGATCATCAGTGTAGCCTAGGATAGTTATTCCAACGTTGCTTAGTCTGGTAAGTATGCTATCTACCACTAGTGTCCACAGGCGAGGCGAAAGGACACAACCTTGTAATCATATTCATAAACGCTCTTGTAATGTAAATAATTATTAAATTAGGTAATTGTGTATGTCCAATTAAGTGCCTGTCGACGTGCCTATTTTTAATATATGCATCTATCCAATATATTCCTCTAGTCCTATTGGCATAACATTGAAATATTGGGATGTTTGGTTACCAGGGGGGGGGGGGGGGGGGTTGGGCAAGGAAGAATCGGATTAATTTAGAAACAACAATATTCTTATTTAAAAAAGTTCATATGATTACATTGCGTTTTTTCAGACAGAATCTATTTATGACATCCTTGAAACTAACATTAATTTCTCTGTGAACTGACATTAGAGCTAAACCTTTCAAACGTTCGTTCACCATTAAATTTCTTAGCCAAGATTTTAGGCGTCTAGAGTCGAAAAACATCTCTCTGTTGTTGTCGTAGAGTAGAGAAAGGTAAAGTTGCTAATATTTGTAAAAGATCTTTAATAATTGGAGAAAAAGGACTCATCTGTATTTAAAAACGCGTCAATGGCCGTTCTTGGCAAATCGTTACCACTACCAATATCATTATTAGTCCATTTCTTTTGCCACATATCTTATTCAGCCTTGAACAGAGGAAAATTTTTGTCATATAATTCACAAATAGGTTCAAATATTCCAAGTTTAGCGGCCGAACATTTTTCTGTGGTATGAGTACCTAACTGTAAGTATGAAATGGATTTGTGATGCTCAGAGAAACGATATTTTAACTCAACTATAATATGATCTATGAACAGAATGTAGATATTTCTAAGGTAGTACTGCACAAAATTTTCAGCCGGAACATTTCCACGCTGAGTTTGGCGACTTACAGTCCTGGTTTTTTTAAATCTCGCCACCCATACCTAAAACAAGCTTTCCTTCTTCATTATAAATATTTTTAAAAGATTGATCGCATGACGCATGTGTCCCTAGATAACTGAACTGATTGCAGTATTAAATCAACATGTTCGACACAGGCTACCAGATCTACATTCACTTTTTGCAGATTTTTGGTTTTTTCGATAGGCACATTGATTATTTTATACTTATTTTTTGATTTTAGTTGTATATTTTATTGGCGATTATTTTTTAAGAAAAAAATAAGCATGGGAGGGGGGGGTTTGAACCCCCTAAACCCCCCCTTATATACGGCCCTGGGTGTGGCAATTAGCTAATAAAACTCCTACTTTGGCCATTGCCTCTACATCTTGAAGCAGAAGCTTTTGATTTTTTTTTTAAATCTAAAAAAGCAAATTCTGCTATGGTTTTCTGAAACCCCCACTCAACTGTTAACCCCAGCCTTTTCATTGAATTGTTGAATTGCTGTTGATGAGGTTCCATGTTTATTTTATTAGCATATGGAGCCCAAAGCAATTCTCTTATTCCGTAGGCTTGGTCACCATAAAGTATAAATCTATTTCCATTTGGAAAAACTGTCACCCTTTCTAGTTCGTTGTACAGATTTGATTCTGCAAACATAGCAGCATCGTGTCTCGTTCCAGGCCAACCACCTTTCAAAATGACAATTATTCCATCAGGGCACAATACCGATTGATATTTTATACAATGATATCTTTTATGCCCTGAATAATAATTCTCCTGTTCAATAGTTGGCCTGCAGATAGCCCTAGCTGTAGCGTCAATAAAACCGCAACAGTTGTTCATAGGTGCTCCTCTATTATGAATGACCTGCAACAAAATCATGAATAAAAAGCATAATAATATAAGTTAATGTATTGGATATAGTGCTTACTTGGGCATATAGCACAAACCTCTGCTGATTTAACCATGGCAGTTGTTCCAGATCGGATAATAAGTGTCAAGTGTCCATGATTTTGGATTAGTATGTCCGTTACCCTGTTTATTACTATGGACATTACTTGAGGGGAATATCCATAATATGGGCCTGTATAAGGCTATTACTGCAGTTGAAACTTACCTGTGACCTTATTCTGGTTATATGTTCTAACAAATTCTGGCATCCGTAAAGCTCGGCATAACCTATATGTCATTTTTTCCAAAACGAAAGAAAAGCTTGCAGTCATTATTGTCCACATCTTCAAAATTGTACTGCTGTGGTGGGACTTGATCACCTTGTTCCCGTAAAATATTGATCAAGATTGCAGCTTGAATATCCTGATCATTCCCACCAGTAATAATTACAGACTCTATAACATTTCCAGCATTCTTTCACACTAAATTTGATTTCAAATTAATGAAAACTAAATTCATATCAGTGAAATCCAATTTCGCTCAAATGAAAATTTAGTTCAAAGTAACGAAAACAAATTTTTCAAAAACGAAATCTAATTTCACATTTTTGGAAATGAATTTCAAACTGACCCTAATTAATACTCATTTTTCAAACATTTATTATTTTAATTTGAAAAAACATCAACAATGTTATTTATTCCAGCCTAATAAAATAAACCCAGTGAGTTCACATAATATAAAATAGAATCATAAAACAACAATAGGTAATAATTATAAATTATTTAAATAAATTGAACTTCAGTTAGGTCTTCTCACTCTTAAGACAGATGCATTATACTTGTCCACGTGATTTGCTTAACTGAAGTTTAATTTATTTAAATAATTTATAAATACATATTATTATTATTTCATGATTGTATTTCATTTATCTCAACTCAGTGGGTTTATTTCTTCAGGGTGAAATCAATATTGTTGTCGAATATTTTTCAAATTAAAATAATAAATCTTTGAAAAATGAGTATTAATTAGGGTCAGTTTGAAATTCATTTTCGAAAATGTGAAATTTAGTTTCGTTTGTGAGAAATCAGTTTTCGTTACTTTGAAATCAATTCTCATTTGAGCGAAATTAGATTTCACTGGTGTGAATCTAGTTTTCATTAATTTGAAATCAAATTTCATTGGTGTGAAATAATGCTGGAAATGGTATAGATCCTCTTCCATTATGCCACAAAACAGAGGGAGGATTTAAGCAAGAATTCAATAATAACTAAAAAAAACCTTACACCATTTCACCTACCTACTATATTCAATTTAATATATCACTTACCTCGAGAATGATACCAATGGGTACTTGTGTGTTCCAGTTTTTAGTCTCCGATTTATTCAGTACAATTGAAAATGATTTATAAATAAACTACTTGTTCAAAAAATACTAAAAAAGCACTGGAATGAAATCCTGTGACCCTGACCCTAAACAACAGACACGTCAAAATTCAAAAATCACAACAAAGGTACAAGTTAGGTCATAAGGTTATAAAATAACGGATACGAAATTTCACGTAAAACTGTTTTCCGATAACTGTAATTTAAAAGTATGATACCGCTTTACGTAAAAAAAATAACTCCTGACGTTATTACCGTCCATACGCGCTATATGGTTCACCGATATCTCTCTAGTATTTTGGGTCATATTCATATTTTCAGTCATCCAAAAACATCACTTGCACGAAATCACAACAAAAATAAATATTGTTGATAAACAAACATGATGAAATAACCTCTAATATTCAACCAGCTGGCCCGTTGTCAAAAATCTGCGCATGCCTATTTGAGCAATTTTTAGGCGTTATTCGAAATAACGCTTTACGTAAATGCTGGGTAAATTACGTTATGCGATAACGTTATTTCAGTACGTAGTGTTAAAAATCGAATCGCGCATAGGTTTAATGTCAAAATAACGTAGGCGCTAATACCGCATGACGCGTTTTGCGTTACCGATATCTCTCTACTATTGCTTCCACCAGTAAAGAAGCTATAAAGAGGCTCAGGTTTACAGAAGATGACGATCTGGCACTTTTAAGAGAATTTGCTGGTTTGAACCCATTAGAAGAAGTAGAAAAATGGGAAGAAATCCAAAAAAATATATCCATAATTACAGGAAAAGTGTTCTCTTGAAGAACTTTGAAGGACCACTTGTTTCTTATTTTAGATATTTGGTTGAAGAAGGATAAGACCACTCAAATATTGTAGGTTTGAAAAAATTAATTTTAATAATATGAATTTTCAAATAAATTTATGTCCAGGTCTGGAGTAGAAGAAGTATTTTCTTTTAAGAATGGTAACACTTGGTATTTAAAAATAAGTTTCACATAACTTTTCAAACATTTTTCAATTTTAAACCCAAAAAAAGATAATTTTCAAATTGGTTTATTCCTTAACATTATAAATGAACAATTGAAAATTGAAATAAAATTTGGCCTAGAAAAATAAAGGTTTGGTTGGTGAGACCTACACACCACGAACATATCAAAATAGAGGTAACGAATTAAGGAAAATTTATCAGCAACCGGCTGATTTTCGGTCAGCCAGCTGAATTTAATTAGAATCAAATGGTCACACTGGCCTGCAATTTTCATGGGCAGTTTTTCCAGACCTACGACCAAGCTGTGTTTAAGGCGTAGACTGTGACACAACCATCACCACTACAACACAACAACTTCTCGTGAACGAACGAGAGTACGATGTCACAAATGAAACACGGAACTGACATGACAGTTCTGATTGTGCTGTTGGGTTTAGATGGTTTTTTAAATGAAAATACCGAGTTTAATTAGGTTAATTATATTAAAAATAAAGCAAATTCTGGAGCACTGTTTTACAGCCACATTCTTGAGATTACATATCTCTGAGACTGATTTCGACCTACAATCCTACAAGGTACAAAAGTATGAGTGAAATGCACCTGTGAAACATCAGCGTGCTAAACGAAGACAGAATTACATTTTGACTAAATCAC